ATCTCACAGAGAGGAGCACACACACTCATCTGGAGCCCTGACTTGTGGAACTGTCACATCCAAATCACCTGTCTGGAGGCCAGCAAAGACAGTGGTCCCACAGGACTTTAAAGCTGCTCCCTGAGGGTCTGGCTTCCACTTAGCCAAAACTAGGGGCTGACTGAGACCTCTACCTTTGAACATGACAGGGCTTAGTACAAACAAAATCTGGAACTTATCAAGAGTATATCAGGGTGTTTAAACAATTACAAAGATTTGAGAGATAACCAAGAGCTAGGGCAGGGCTGAACAATAAGGTTCACGGCTTACATAAGGACACTCCTTCAAGCCTAGAAGAGGTTCCCCATTTTGTCCAATACAAAGAAACACAGAGAGAAAAGCAAAATGAGGAAACTGAGGAATAGGTTTCAAAAGAAAGAACAATATCGAATTTTTAAAATCCTTAAAGAAATGGGGATAAGTAATTTATCTGATAAAGAGTTCAAAATAATGCTCATAGAAATGCTCACCAAACTTGAGAGAAAACATGAATACAGTGAGAAGTTCAAAAAGGAGATGGAAAATGTCAGAAAGCACCAAAATGAAAGTCACAGGGCTAAAGAATTCAATAACTGAACTGGAAAATGTAACAAAGGGCTTCAGCTGAAGACTAGATCAAGCAGAAGGAAAACAACAACAACAACAACAACAACAAAAAAAAAAAAACCCCAGCAAACTTGAAGACAAGATAATGGAATTCTTTCAGTAAGAGCAGCATAAAGAAAAGAAAAATGACAAAGAGTGAAGATAGCTTAAGGGGTTTATGGGACACCATCCAAAAGACCAATATACACATGATAGGGATAACAAAAAAGACACACAGAGAGAAAAGAGACAGAAAGTGTATACAAGCAATAATGACTGAAAATATTCCTAGCCTACGGAAGAAAACAGACATCTAGGTCCAGGAAGACAAGAGAGTTACAAATGAGACAAACCCGGAGAGAGACACATTATAATAAAAATGTCAGAAGTTAAAGAGAATATTAAAAGCAAGAGAGAGAGAAACAACAAACAAGCAAACAAAAACTTTGTACATACAAGGGAAGTTCCATAAGTCTATCAGCTGATTTTCAAGAAGAAACTTTGCAGGCCAAAAGAGAGTGACATGACAGATTCAAATTGCTGAAAGGAAAAATCTTACAACCAAGAACACTCTACTTGGCAAAGTTGTCACTTAGAATTGAAGGGAGATAAAGAGGCTTCCAGACAAGCAAAAGCCAAAGGATTTTATCACCTCTAAACTCCCATTTAAAGAAATGTTAAAGGGACTTCTTTAAGCTGAAAAGGCACTATCCAGTAACAAGAAAACATAAGACAGTAAAAAAAAAAAAAATCACAGGTAAAGGTACATAACAATAAAACTAAGGGACTGACCATTTATTAAACTATTACTAAGGTTAAAAGAAAAAAGTAGTAAAACTAACTATAATAATTAGTTATGAGATACAGAGGCTTCCCCGGTGGCACTAGTGGTAAAGGAGCCCCTGCATCAGTGCAGGAGATGTAAGACATGGATTTGATCCCTGGGTCAGGAAGATCCCTAGAGGAGGGCATAGTAACCCACTCTAGCATTTTTGCCTGGACAATCCCACAGACAGAGGAGCCTGGCCGGCTACAGTCCTTAGAGTTGTAAAAAGTCAACACCACTGAAGCAACTTGGTACGAATACATCAAATGGGCTTTATTCCTGGGATTCACTTATGCAGATATGGTTCAACATCTCATTAATACTAACCACCTTAACTAAACATATAAAAAATTACATCATGAACTCAACAGATACAGAAAAGACATTGTCGAATTTTGATTCAACATCCGTGCTTAAGTTACATCCGCCACATTGAGACTCTATGGACTGCAGCCCGCCACGCTCCTCTGTTGATGGAATTCTCCACTCAAGAATACTGGAGTGAGTCATCATGCCCTTTTCCAGGGGATCTTCCAGACCCAGGGATTGAACCTAGGTCTCTCACGTCTTTACCACTAGTGCCACCTGGGAAGCCTGTTAATATAGCAACCCTGTTCATTTGTGAAAATACAGCCCAATGAGTATCTTGGGCTCACTTCAATCTGGTCAGCAACTTCTCGTCCTTTAGAGGGGTGATTAGGAAGGAGGTAGGTGGGGAAGAACAGGATTTTCTAAATACTGTGTAGTGCCGCAAAAATGTGTGTGTTATGTTTTGGTTTTATAACAGTTTCTAAACTCTTATCAAAACAGGTATAGAGGGAACAGACCTCAACATAATAAAGGTCGTATATATGACAAATCCACAGCTAACATCATACTTGATGAAAAGTTAAAAGCTTTCCCTCTGAGATCAGGAACAAGACAAGATGCCTACTCTTGTCACTTTTATCAACATAGTACTATAAGTTCTCACCACAGCAATTAAGCAAGAAAAAGAAATAGTCATCCAAATTGAAAAAAAAATAAAAGTAAAACTGAAATGAGTTGTAGATTACATGAGACTGCCTATAGAAAACCTTAAGAATGTCACCAAAAAAAACTGTTAGAACAAATAGATAAATTCAGCAAAGTTGCAAAATACAAAATCAACATACATTTAGCCCTCTTTATCCATGGGGTCTACATCTGCAGATTCAATCAACCATGGATCAAAAGTATTTGGGAAAAAAAAATTTCCAGAAATTTCCAAAAACCAAAACTTGAAATTTCCCAATACTAGCAGCTATTCACTATCATTTACACTAGATTTGTATTATGAGCAATTTAGAGATGACATAGAGTATATGCAAGGATGTTCATGGATTATATGCAAATATTATGTCATTTCATGTAAGTGACTTGTGCATCTGTGGATTTTGGTATTATGCTGGGGTCCTGGAACCAACTCTCTGTGGATACATATGTCTATAAATTATAATGGAATATCAGAAAGAGAAATTAAGAAAGCAACCTCATTTACAATTGCATCAGAAAGAATAAAATTCCTAGAAGCAAATTTAGTCAAGGAGGTGAAAGGACCTGTATGCTGAAAACTATGACACTGACAAAATAAATTATTCGATAAATAAGACGCAAAGAAATAGAAAGATATCCTGTGCCCATGGGTTGGAAGAATTAGTATTGCTATAATGTCCGTACTATCCAAAGCAATCTACAGATTCAGTGTAATCTCTATCAAAATTCCAAAGACATTTTCACAATACTAAAACAAACAATTTAGAGATTTATATGGAACCACGAAAAACCCTAAATAGCCAAGCACCTTGAAAAAGAAGAACAAGCCTAGAGAAATCATGCTCCCTAATTTCAACTATACGCAAAGCTATAGCAACAAAAATGGCATGGTATTGGCATTAGAAACATACATAGAGCAATGAAACGGAATATAGAGCCCAACAATAAACAGGCACATATATAGTCAAGTAACATATGACAAAGGAGCCATGAACATACAATGAGGAAAAGACAGTCTCTTCAATATATTGAGCTGGGAAAATAGAAGACACGTAAAAAATGAAACTAGACCATTATCTTTGTTTTTGTTGTTCTGTCCGACTCTTTGTGAACCCCCTGGACCATGGCCCACCAGGCTCCTCTGTCCATGGGGTTCTCCTGGCAAGAATACTAGGGTGGGTTGCCATTTTCTTTCTCCGGAGGATCTTCCTGACCGAGGGATTGAACCCACGTTTCCTGCACTGGCAGATGCATTGTTTACCCCTGAGCCACCTGGGGAGCCGAGCAACAACAAAGCCCACGGTCTTACACAGTACATAAAAATTAACCCAAAATGGATGAAAGACTTGAATGTAAGGTGTGAAACCAAACCATAAGACTCCTAGAAGAAAATAGGTGGTAAGTCCTTTGATATAGGCCTTGGTGATGATTTTTTAAATCTGATGTCAAAAACAAAGGCAAAAAAAAAAGTGGGACTATTTCAAACAGAAAAGCTACTGCACAGGAAAGCATACCATCAATAAAATGAAAAAGCAACCTAGAATGGGAAAATATTTGCAAATCATATATCTGAAAAGGAGTTAATACTCAAAATATTAAAGAACCCATTCAACTCAATAGTAAAACAAACAAAGAAACAAAAAGAATAAAAACTTTTACAGAATCCAGATAGACACTTTTTCAAAGAAGACATGCAGATGTCCAACAGATCCATGAAAAGTTTCTCAAGATTACTGGGGAAATGCAAGTATTAGGGAAATACAACTCGAAATCACAACGAGAAATCACCTCATACCTGTTAGGATGAGCATAATAAAAAGAAAAAGTATTGAAAATTTTAGAGAAAAGGGAATCCTCTTATATGATTTGTGAGAATGTAAATTGGTGAAGCCACTATGGAAAAGAGTTTGGTGGCTCCTCAAAAAAAATTAAAAATAAAACTACCATATAACCTAACTATTCTACTTTTGGGTATTTATATCCCCCTCCCCAAACTAAAAAACTCTAATTCAAAAAGATATACACACCCTTATGTTCATTGCAGTAGTGTTTACAGTAGCTAAGATATGGAAACAACTCAAGTGTTTATTGATGAATGTAGGAATAAAGAAGGTGCACACACACACACACACACAGTGGAATGTCATTCAGCCATAAAAAGAAGGAAAGCTTGACATCGGTGACAACATGGTAGGACCTAGTGAGCACTATGGTGAATAAAATAAGCTAGAGAAAAGACAAATACCATATGATTTCACTTGCATGTAAACATAAAAAAAAAAAAGCTTATGAAACAAAACTCATATATTGCTGGTTGTCAGAGGGAAAGGGTGAGGATGGGGACAAAATGGGTAAAGGAGATGGATTATATGGTGATGTACGGTAACCAGACTTATTGTGATGTATACAGAGATTGAACCATTATGTTGTATACCTAAAACTAATGTAATGTTATTACCAGTTTTACCTCAAAACTTATAATACAATTTAAACTAATAACAATAATATTGCAGAAAATCAGACAAAGACACCTTACCATTCATTTCCTTGTGAAGGGTTTTCTAGTAGCACTCGGATTATGTATAATAAGCAGCTTAATAATTTGAGAGAAAAATTGAACAGACGTATTCTTAGACCTTTAAACAAACAACAAAAATTGGATTTTCACTTAAACTCAGTTCACAGATAACTAAAAAGAATTGTCAAAAATATCAATTTTAAGTACAGCACTTAAATTGTGTTTAGAAACTACACTACCACAATGTTTACCCACTCTGAAGTTCTAAGTGCCTGAAGATTGAAACAAAAAATGAGAATGATAGTTTGTACAAACCACAAATAATACTGGATATTATACACTAAGTAATTCAACTTCTGAGCATTTGAAGCCATAAAAATCATATCCAACCCAGATTGGTCTAGGCATACTTAAAAGTTTAACCATTTTATAGATCTATAAATTTTGGGATAAATTTTAATTAGCCAGAAAATCTAGCTGCTTAAAAATTCACAAAGATAAGTTTTAAACTTTGTATCTTCTCAGCACCTTGCAGATTTGATTATAGAGAAATTATAATCACATATAATTATGTATTATACATTTAGATAGTAATTATAGAATTACCAAGAAATCCTAATAGCGTATAATGGGAAATATACACACTCACAGCCCCATTTTTGAGATTTAACTAACTTTTCATTATAGGTTTAAATACTGGTAAAATTTTAAAAACTTTTTTGTGGGAAATAACACAGCCATGTACGTATCTTTGTACATGGCTGTGATATTTAATGTTGGAGAAGAGCAATTAACATTAAGCAAAATGTGCTTAAAATCTGATTAATAGAAGCATTACCTTTCCTGCAATCATCAGGTGGTACCAGATTTATGCATTATGAATAAAATTCTGAGAAAGGTCTTCCAATAATTATTTCTTAATAAAATCTACAAATGAAATGCCATTTTGTTTTTACTCTCCTATAGGTGAGTGTACTTAAGGTAATACTTAACAGTAAAAGGTGAATGCTTATTAATTGTGTAATTTTTCCTTGGTTTTCCTATTAAAATGCTAGGTACATACAGGTTAGTTTCTTAATAAAGTCTTTTACACTGTTAATGAAATTGCCCTGGTTTTATAGAACTGGCCTCCTTAAAGGATAGTTTAGTCAAAGCTGGGTATTCTTTCTGGCCTGGAGAGACAGAATTTTTAGTGCTAAAATAAAGGAAACCTTTTATGCAAATAATGTGGCCTCTTCAGGTAATATCTGCGACCTCTAACAAATCAGATTAGAGAAGCACTAGTTATTATTAACCTAACCCTGAGCTAACCAGCCATTAAGAGTCTCTAATCTGTGTGCCTTATAGATTGAAATACTTCCGGTGGTTAGGATTCAGGTAACTTCTCATAACTCAAGTTTTTCTTGATGAACTCTACAGAAGCACATTAAACCACCCAAGAGGATTCAGAGGTCAAACTGTGAAAGAGTAAAGTCAAAACCAAACTATTTCCATTTCTTATTGACACCTTAAGCAATAATCACATGAAAAAATTGCATATTGGTTCATTATATATGACTTTTCAAAAATACACGGTATTGTGGAGAGGTAAGAAGTATGATTGACACTTCAACCCCGAACAGGCTTAGGAGGACAGTGACTATGCCAATTTCATGCCCTCTTGAAGTTCCAAGGTTTCCCAAATGTATTTTATGGCAGGAATTCCTGGGATGTTATATGCTGAGCTTGGCTCTGCACTTCCTCATTTTAAATCTCCAGGGAAAGGTGTTGTACATTTCAGGACACCCTACATGTTTCTGGCTATTAGGTGTGATAGGTAAGCTCGCCCCTACTAAATGCTAAATCAGAAAATTATTCCCCATTATGGTCACCTGGAATCACCAGAGTCTTCTCAAAACAAACTTTAGGTGTCCCTCACAGTGAAAATATGGGGAACCCTCATTTAAATGATTTTCCTCAGTATTTCTATCAATCCAAATGGTCCACTCAGAATTCTACTAAATGATACCAGATTTGAAGACGTAAAGGTGTCAGGATACTTTGACATCACCAGAGGCAACATCTACTGCTTTTTAAACATTAGTGCCTGACAGAGATTATCAAGTTTACTCCTGTATATAAAAGATATTTTGAAAAAGAACTGTATAGCTGTATTTTTTTTTTTTTACAGTGAACATATATACAAAATATAGACAGGGAATTAAAATGAAAAACTTACTTGATCTCTGGTTTTTGATAAAAAATAACTTTAGTCTCTCTTTAAATGTGTTTTCATTCATATAAAATTCAACTTGCACCCTGCAAACAAAAAATAAAAACACAATTAAGCTAAAGAGTAAGATAAATGAAAACAAAAATAAATTATGTGATGTAATACATTATATAATTTGAGTGAATCCCCACCATAGAAAATGATGTGAGTTAAAACATTGATTTTTTGGAGAGTACCAGTTATGTTCTAATTTTAAAGATATACTCAGTTTAAATATCATATGCAGTTAATTCAGTTATGTGTATTACTAGATAAATGAGTGGTATGTATGATTCAGGGCTTTCCTGGTAGCTCAAAACAGCAATAATGCAAAAGTCTTTCATATGTGTTTGTAGAATAATTTTTCATCAGTGTATTCCCAATTTTTCCCCTGTCATAGGAATCAACTGGATGCTTAAAAAACTCAGGTTGAACTAACCACCCCAGATCTATTGAATCTTAAGGGACTGGGCTTGGAAATAGAATTTTAGTAAGGCTTCTCTTTACCTTGAGCCTATTTGGGACACGACATATGGGACACTTTACTTTCTTATTTATTTATCTGTATCATATTAAATATTGCTTGATCAACAAAGGAGTGGTACTGGCAACTGGAACATTAAAGTCACAAGAGGTAAGTTACAAACGAGACAAATCAATTAAGGAACTGAATATTCTACCTTTAATCATCTATAAACTGATATCAACACTCTAAAACATAGTAGCATTCTAATAAATGCATTTGCTTTCTCCCATAATTCTAGCAACTTCTCTCAAACAATAGTGCATAAATAAAATTTTCAAAATAATGAGTAAAAACACAATTGTGTTCAAGCTTGGTGAATACCAAATAATCATCATCTGAAATTTTCTCAAATAATCTTAAATACCTTTACTATAAGTTAAGATTTGAAAAAAACAGTTAGAAAACATTTCAATGCTCACAAACACAAAAAATATTTAACTTTTCCTGGAGAACTATGGATGGAGGTTCGTGACACAGTACAATCCCCAAGATCAAGACCATCAAGATGGATCAAGATCATCCCCAAGGAAAAGAAATGCAAAAAGGCAAAATGATTGTCTGAGGACACCTTACAAATAGCTGGGAATAGAAGAGAAGCAAAGCCAAAGGAGAAAAGGAAGGATATACCCATTTGAATGCAGAGTTCCAAAGAATAGCAAGAAGAGATAAGGAAGCCTTCCTCAGAGATCAATGCAAAGAAAGAGAGGAAAACAAATGGGAAAGACAAGAGATCTCTTCAAGAAAAGTAGAGATATCAAAGGAACATTTTATGCAGAGATAGGCACAATAAAGGACANGAAAGGCTGGGCTGGATGAAGCACAGGTTGGAATCAAGATTGCGGAAGAAATACCAACAACCTCAGATATGAAGACGACACCACCCTTATGGCAGAAAGCAAAGAACTAAAGAGCCTCTTGATGAAAGTGAAAGAGGAAAGTGAAAAAGTTGGCTTAAAGCTCAACATTCAGAAAACAAAGATCATGGCATTGGGTCCCATCACTTCATGGTAAATAGATGGGGAAACAGTGGAAACAGTGACAGACTTTATTTTGGGGGGCTCCAAAATCACTGCAGATGGTCACTGCAACCATGAAATTAAAATTCGCTTGCTCTTCGGAAGAAAAGTTATGATGAACCTAGACAGTGTATTAAAAAGCAGAGCCATTACTTTGCCAACAAAAGTCAGTCTAGTCAAGGCTATGGATTTTCCAGTAGTCATGTGTGGATGTGATAGTTGGCCTATAAAGAAAGCTGAGCACTGAAGAATTGATGCTTTTGAACTGTGGTGTTGGAGAAGACTCTTGAGAGTCCTGTGGACTGCAAAGAGATCCATCCAGTCCATCCTAAAGGAAATCAATATTGAACATTCATTGGAAGGACTGATGCTGAAGCTGAAACTCCAATACTTTGGCCACCTGATACAAAGACCTGACTCATTAAAAAAAGACCCTAATGCTGGGGAAGATTCAAGATGGGAGGAGAAGGGGATGGCAGAGGATGAGAAGGTTGGATGCCATCACTGACTCGATGGAATGAGTTTGAGTAAACTCTGGGAGTTGATGATGGACAGGGAGGCCTGGCATGCTGCAGTCCATGGGGTCGCAAAGAGGTGGACATGACTGAGTGACTGAACTGAACTAAATATCACAAAATTTTGATAAAGTAATCTATATAAAGTAGATAGTTTGGATGTTGGCTTTTGATTTTTATTTTGTAGGGATACCCGCGAGATAAAAACAGGGGAGAAAATAATTGACAGGAAGATGTTCATGTCCTAGAGAAATATTTCACTCCTAAACTCTAAGGTGCATATTCAAGAAGATCTATGAATATTTTAAAAAGCAATCTCTTATGCAGTAAAAACAAAGGGCTTTTGTTGTCAATTGCTAACCAAGTTTTATCAGTTATACATTCTAAAATCTTGAATTGTTCTAACTTTATCTCTTATCCCTAAAGAGAATATTCTCTCCCATAAACATTTTCTTTCTTTTGTATCCTTTTATGATTTGTTTTCTTTTCTTTTTACTTTATGTGTAAAATGACAAAAATCAAGATTCTCTTTCCTTGTTAATTTCTCTAGAAAGAAGCCATAGAAATTGCAATAATATCTTCTAGCAGAACACCTCTATATGCATGCCTGTGCACATGCACACACCCCTACACATGTATGCAAACCTTCACACTCACACACGCCGCACAATACACGCACACACGGGAAGACCCACAACTCCACTGGCATCTTGGAAAGCCATCACTGGACCTGCTTCCCTTGTTGATCACGTGAAAGAAAGTTCATTTTAATAAAGTAACTGTGACACTGATATTAAGCTATATGAATTCAAATTTGCTATGGATACAAAAGCAAATTTGAGAAGGACATATGGCTATTGTACAAGTAATAAAACAAAATCCATGTAGATTTGCTCCCTAGAATTATCAAGCTTATAATAGTATCAGTGCATTCTTCAGATATTACCTAGAGTGCAGTACTGGGTATACAGCAGAGGGGTGTATTTTAACTAAAATGAGATTGTCTAAATCCTTAAGCAAACAATGAAGTATCTGGAAAGCATTTCATAAAAGGACAAGTTTAAGGAACTGGAAATGTTTAACCTTACTCAACGGCTGCCTTTAAACACTGAAATGACCATCATTATTAAAATGAGATGATTCATAATGTGATGTATAGAATTAATTATAGAAAATATGAGAATTACGAATGATATTACCCAGTTCTGAAATGGCCATCACTATGAAGTTGAGCATTCTCCAATACATATAAATGTGCCAAAGACTAAGTAACAGCTTGCAAGTGACTGGATTTTTTCCTGAAGTGAAAATGATTTTGCATGGTGTAAGGTCTCTCATTAAATAAATTCCAAATTCCATTCTCATTATAATACCATGTGAAGCAAACAGTTAATTAATCTAGTGATCTGAGTCAACATCACTGAGGAACATGGATGATATTAAAGCATACATTCATACAAACACTTTTCAAAGCTAAAATGAAAAAAAATAAAAAATAAACAAAACACTTTTTGAACCCTGTCTTCCATCAGGTACAAAAAAATGTCCTTTAGATTTACTATTTATAATATAGAATGGAGACTTATTTGATCCATGACAACCGTAAAGGAATCCAGGCAGCTTAGTATAGCGTATATTTTGAGAAATGTCCAGATATTTCTCTAGTACTCAGGGAGTTGTGTGGAACAGAGTTTAGTTTTTATATTTCCGATTTTTTTTTCATGATTTTAGCTGCTTTTAAATATCCTCTTAGTAGTTCCCTTTCCAGATTTAAATATGGTTTTACTTACTTCCTCCCTCTTTTCTTTTTCCCCTCCCTCCCTCCCTTCCTCCCTTCCTCTTTTTTCCTTTCTTCCTTCTTCTCTTCCTTCTTTTCTCTTGTTTTATGATTTCCTTCCTCCCATCTAACTTTATCTGAACTGACCTCTATCCAGTAGGTAATTTTGGCGTATTCTAAAACCATACACTTTTGAACAATACACTAGAGCAAATCTGCCCTCATTAGTCCTTAAAATGTCATTTTTCACATTTTTATCCTCAAAATAAAATTGAAGATCATTTTGTCTCATTTATCCCAATAAAATAGTGGATATGTGATTGTAGTTAATAAAAATGAAGTAGAATTGCAACCATTACTACACCATATCTACTCTTACTGACATACATTACCATTGGTTAATAATATGTTGGTTGTTGCTTTATTTGGGCAGATCCTATCATTTTGTTTACTATTTTAAAACTGGCTGTTCTGACCTTTAACTTTTTTTGATATTGTAATTGACAACCATGTTGAACTCTCTTATAGGTAGTGATATTTATCACGCTTATTTTTTGAGTTTTCCAAGCAGACAATCATGTCATCTGGAAATTTCCAATATCTGTATTCCCTTTTCATTATTTTTGTCTTATTACATCGACTAGAACTTTTTGATGAAAGCAACAATCAAATAACCATGGTACATTTTTCTAGAAGGCAACTAGTGCTTTAGCCGTAATTACATTATTGATCATGAAATTGCAATGAATACTTATATTTTACTAAAAATCACAACTGGAATGAATGAATACTGATTGTTAAAAAAAAAAAACTATCTTGAATCTATCAGTTGATGGTGTATTTTTGTTTTTTCTTGATTTATTGACTTGGTAAATTATTTTAGTTGTTTTTATATTGTCATGTGCTTAGTCGCTCAGTCATGTTCCAATCTTTGTGATCCCATGGACTGTAGCCTGCCAGGCTCCACTGTCCATGGGATTCTCCAGGCAAGAATATTAGAGTGAGTTGCTGTGCCCTCCGACAGGCGATCTTCCCAACCCAGAGATCAAACTCAGGTCTTTCACGTTGCAGGCAGATTCTTTACCATCTGAGTCATCAGGGAAGCCCAATTTTTAGGTGTTTTTATATTAACCAATATTTTTTCAGTCGTAGAATATTGTTTTTGTAACAATGAACTATTTATGTAATTTACTGCTGGATGCATTTTATTTTAGAAGCTTTTTTTCTACGTTCATAACTAAGATTCATGGCTAATATCTTTATACTATTCTTCAAATATGAACTGAAAATCTCCTAGATATGTTATTTTCTGGAATAATTCTTAGTGCTGTAGGGTTGTTGTTTTTTTCTTTTTTTTTTTACATAACTATCATCAATTTGCCTTAACAGTATCAAGGACTTAATACTGATTTCAATTTTTTTTCCCATTTTACGTTGCTCTGGTTACTTGAATTTAGCATAAAAATTATGCAATATCTTGTTAAAAGGCATTTTTCTTATTTCAGTCTTAAAATTCCTCTTTACTAACTTTAAAATACAAAAAATAACGGTGACCCAGGTTGTTAATGCATCAATCTTTCAGGAACACTTTCTTCCTTTTTTTTTTCTTTTTTGAGCATTGATAATACCTTGGGCTCTGTTTAGGGTGCCAACATTTTCCAGATATTCTCTTTAGGAACTCATGGTAGACACAGATCATTACCAAAGGAAAATTCTTCCTCTGTGTCTCCTTGGTGCTGTTCCCTTCCTGCCTTCCTCTGATGCTGTCCATGTATCAGTTTTACAATTACTGCACTCATTTCAAACAAGGGAGTGTTGATCTAGACTCTCTGGTCTAACTGGTGTCTTTCTCTTCCAATCACACTTCATGATGGTGACAGTAGCACTTCTCAGTAATACGACATAAGTCCATTAGATTGTAAACTCTACGAGGGTGGGACCATACTGAGTTTTGTTCATGCTTATGTCTTAAATATTTAAATTGTTTGAGACCTACTAGGGACCTATTTCCATTCAATGCCTGAATGAAGGGGTAGTGTGGTACTGAGGTCTTTCTTTCATACAAACCTAAAGGACTCTGAGTTGCTAGTCCAGTGGAAGAAATAAAGCCATCTTCCTTTTCTTCTGTAGGTTATAATTACTTGAGGATAAAATAGCTGGGTTTGTAGTGGGCTGAATCCTTGAATTCTCTTCCTTACTCCAACTGGGTCTGCCTTGTGATGAACGGTCATTCCCTGCAATTTTTTTTTTAATAATAAATTGGAAGGGCCTGGTTAATTGCAACAACTCCCCAAGAATTAAAAAAAAATTAAAAAAAAAATTCTACTACTGTTGATTTATTAATTTTTACAGTGTTGTTATGACTTGATTAAAGCAGCCATCACTTTTACTTTATTAAAAAAAAGTTTAATTCAAATAATTTTAGTGATTTGCCCAGATTTGTAGCTAGTACTGAGAGACAGAATTTGGACACTGGTCTTTCAGTTACTACTTCTTGCTTTCAGCCTTCTCTTCAAGTTAATTTTTCATTATTAGGACAGTTCTAGGTTATCTGTGAAGTATTACAAAAAAAGAGTGTAAACACCAGACCATCACAGGGATACTGAGTAGTGTTTGCTTAATTCTGCCCTTTGATTGTTGATTCCAAAGCAGGTTCTTATCTGTTTCTAAATACTCACTCCTAACTTCTGGTAACTAAATTATTTAACAAAGCTACCAATTTTGAGTGTGCCAAAGCCTTTGAATGGGTGGATCACAATAAACTGTGGAAAATTCTGAAAGAGATGGGAATACCAGACCACCTGACCTGCCCCTTGAGAAATCTGCATGCATGTCAATGGTTAGAAAGAGTTGGTGATGGACAGGGAGGCAAGGATGCTGCAGTCAATGGGGTTGCAAATAGTCGGACGTGACGGAGGGAATGAACTGAACTGAACTGAACCATTCAAATGGAACCTTGTAAAAATATAAATAAATGAGCCTACTATCAGTTTTTCATCCCCTCAGAATTAGTTTCAATTGTTCAAGCTCAAGTGCTTCCAAGGAGCTTCTACTTGGCTTCCAATCTTTACTATGCACACCAATAACCTCATTTTAAAAACTTTATGGAGTCTTTCCTAAGTCACCTGCCAACATCTTTCTGTCCATCTTATTCTTTTCATAATTATACATGCTTAACATTCCCATCTCCATTAGTTAGTAACATCTTATAAGGAGGCATCAGTTAGAACCGGACATGGAACAACAGACTGGTTCCAAATATGAAAAGGAGTATATCAAGCCTGTATAATGTCACCCTGCTTATTTAACTTATATGCAGAGTACATCAGGAGAAATGCTGGGCTGGAAGAAGCACAAGCTGGAATTAAAATTGCCGGGAGAAATATCAATAACCTCAGGTATGCAGATGACACCACCCTTATGGCAGAAAGTGAAGAAGAACTAAAGAGCCTCTTGATGAAAGTGAAAGAGGAGAGTGAAAAAGTTGGCTTAAAGCTCAACATTCAGAAAACTAAGATCATGGCATCTGGTCCCATCACTTCATGGCAAATAGATGGAGAAACAGTGGAAACAGTGGCAGACTTTATTTTTGGGGGCTCCAAAATCACTGCAGATGGTGACTGCAGCCATGAAATTAAAAGACACTTAGTCCTTGAAAGGTAACTTATGACCAACCTAGATAGCATATTAAAAAGCAGAGACATTACTTTTTCAACAAAGGTCTCTCTAGTCAAGGCTATTTTTTTTCCAGTAGTCATGTATGGATGTGAGAGTTGCACTATTAAGAATCCTGAATGCAGAAGAACTGATGCTTTTGAACTGTGGTGTTGGAGAAGACTCTTGAGAGTCCCTTGGACTGCAAGGAGATCCAACCAGTCCATCCTAAAGGAGATCAGTCCTGGATATTCATTGGAGGGACTGATGCTGAAGCTGAAACTCCAATAC